AAGTCTGAGACAAGTCCCTTCCCAAAGCTGCAAGTCCCATGCAAGTCAGTTACAGCGAGAAGACAAGTCTATTGCAAGTCTGTCACAAGTCTGCCGAGAGACTTGTGGGACTTGGACTTGCCCTGCCAAAAGTCCACACAAGTCCGCGCAAGTCCATTTTTGGCAGGCACAAGTCTGTTATGCAAGTCCAAAAGTACTGTCTCGAACTGAAGGACTTGGCCTCAATGTGTGTGGGTTGCACCTTCTCGAAATGTACATGTCCTTAATTTGGAACAGATTAGAACCAACAATATAAGAGCAGAGTCGAATACCAAAGTTCCAAACAAAGTCCAAATGAAGTCCCAAATGAAGGTAGGACTTTGGAGTAAGATCAAAGGTTTGAGGTGAAGTTCAGAATTGATCTTGAAGGTTTGTATTCAATTTGGAGGCTAATAGAGGTCTGAGGTGTATAGAGGAGAATGAGCACAAGGATCAAGTATAGGAATGATATACACTAGGTCTAATTTCCAACTGGAGAAACTAGTTAAGATACATGTACTTATATAATAAAAGTTCATGGACGAAAGCGGAAGGAAGTGTTACAAACAAGTAAATCAAATGTGGAGCAGAGTATGACATAAAGTGATAGAACAATGAGTATATGTGTATTGTCGAATAGCAAAGGTTCAGGGGAATATTTAAATAAATAATGTGAACTATTGAAAAGGTATGATAGACAAATATGCAATAAGGAATATAAGCAAATGGAGGATATGTCATGAGAACAATAGACTAACAGAAATATGCCATAAGAAAAGATAAGCAAACAGAAACAATATAAATGAATTGGAAATGAATGTGACAAAGTGTCACCTGTCAAAATAGAAGAAGTATCAAGGACCAATTGTGCCAGGTCCAAAGGAAACTAATAATAGTCTTTTTAGAGTTGTGGAGCAGATAGTGTGATTGAATGAAGTAGGTGGGCAAAGGCATTGCCCCCAGGATCAAGAAGAAGTCAGGATGTGGGTCAAGGGTTTGTTGTGCGAACACAAAGACAAGGTGAGATGCGAAGTCAAATGAAGTAAGATGTGAAGTTGAATGAAGCTCTCCAAAGGTATGTGACCTTCTCCGAAGCTTTGTGGAGGTTAAATAAAGTCACATGTTGTGACACTTAAGCACAGGGCTTAACAGGACGTCTTTGCTCTCTGCCTCAAAGTCTTTCTGCATCACTAGAATGCCATGATCTATCATCTCATTATAAAATATTGAGTAGAGCACCGAGAGTTATTAGCAACACAAAATAATCAGATTCCTCTCAATAATCAAATAATGTTAACAATTTCTCTTATGGATTCCTCTCCACATTCAGATTCAGACTCAGAAGATCCAGCTTCACTTCCATGTTCCAGTACTCCGACATAGCTTTTCTAAAGCCCTCTCAGAATCATCCCGGCACGAAGCTTTCCTCTGAAGGCTGATGTGCGGTGTACAATATCCATCCATCGACAGTTACAATTATGACATTGAGATCTACTGGTATGTCTTTTGTTAAGGTAGTACCAGTGTCACCATGTAGCATGATGTGAAAGGCCGCTGCCTAATGCAGCCTCAGTGTGCACAGACCCTGTGCCCTGCTAGCTCAATCGGTAGAGTGTGAGACTTTTACAATTAATCCTCACATGTAGACAACAGCATTAAGTATTAATCTCAAGGTTGCGGGTTCGACCCCCGCGTGAGGCTACCATTTTCTTCATCACGGCCACTGGGGGAGTCTCTTCTTCACCCCCGTTCCTTGACTCCTTATCCTCTTTCTCATATATTTCCCTCCGTTTCATTCGAGATTCGAATTCAGATCCGGGGTGGTGATTCCCTTGGCGACACGACATGATTAGAATTAGGATGTGGAAGATGAGATGGAAGTGTCGTGCTTGTCGACTTGGAGAGGGTCCCAGGATGATAAGGGGGATGATAATGTTCCAAGGAGGGTGAGTGGGAATGATCCGAGGTGAGGATGTAGGTATCTGATTTTGATTTGACTGAATGTCGGGTTTTCAACTCACTAGCGATTTGTGTGTACAGTTACTTGCTTTTCTGTGAGATTTGATCACTGGCACGAGTGGATTACGGATGAACCTAATTGTCAAATGTCGTGTTCGTAGTCAAGAGAAAAAGAAATAATGTGACGTAGGATATCAATAATAATATGGTCTCGGCCCTGTATTTATTACATAACATCGTTAAACAATGAGTACTTCTTAGCTTGGCATGGTCCTCTGCACTTAACATATCAGTGCCAGAGGCACCACGGCTGAACACTTCCCCCATCCGAACACGACGAATACGTTTATCAAATACGTTTGGTATGACATCTTGATAGAACTCTTCCTTCGTATAAATTTAAAGTGAAGTGAAGAGAACGAACGAGGGTATGCTCAATTCCAACGTTCAATTTCAGCTGGTAATCCCCCTCCCCTTCAAAGAATCCCACATAATTGCTTACAATGAGACTCATCCGCTACGTCCGCCTTAGCTCTGAAATCTTTATACTAATTGACTGTTGACTGCGAACACTTGGCATTTAGGTTCAACTGTAATTCACTCCAATAATCCATCCTCGACCTCATCCTATTAAATCATGTCGTCCTCAAGAGCATTATCATAACCATTTTCTTTTCCTATATAGCTCAGAACTGCTTATAATTATAATTATAATTAACTAATATCTGCCATTACATTTGAGATATAACATGGGTGATTTACGCTCAGCGCAATCCGACTCCGAATAAAGCAAGTATACATATACGTAATCCATTAGTGTCCTGGAAGACATACAGATCAAATCCCCACATACAGCTCTTCTTCCCGTCGGTCCATCTCATCCCCCTCGCCACTCGTCACAATATTCAGAGCTCAGAGGACCAATCGTGACATTCATCTTGCCTTCCTGGCTTCATCCTCGTCCTCTTCATGATCAAGCGAGTCTCCTCGACTTCATTAGGATCAGGCAACTCCAGACCTGCGACGAAACGGCGTATGGATTTATTCGCCATATCTTCAAACACCGACATAGCTTTCCACGTCGCCCTCACTCCCATTCCCTCTCCCATTATCCATCCTCCTCACAACCTCATCCCATCTCGGCCCATCATCCTCCTCAGGATCGCTTAATGGGGCAAATGTTATATATGGTGACGGTTGTCCTTCAGCCTCATCCTCCTCCCTCTCTTCACCCCCATCTTCATCGCCCTCATCCCCAACAAGCCCCCGCATCCTCTTCAACGCCTCATCGAACTCTTCCCGCACTGCAACGCGTGAACGGGGAGTTTTAGGGATCACGCTCCACCGGATGCCTTTTCGTCCGTCTCCTTCTCGTCCGTGGGGACCTAGGGTGTCTTGACCTGCGTCATGTTCGCTCGTCTCATCATCTTCTCTGTCATGTCCCGCTCCCGCCTCATGTCCCTCCTCCACTTCGGCCTCATGCACATGGAAAGACGGTATCTGCACAGCATCTGGTATCGTCGGTGAATCCTCCCTCTCTCGAATTGGCGACGAGAACGACCGCCTAGAGGGATTCGCAGACGGTTGGGTGTAATTAGACATCGATACGGAGGGTGAGGGTGTTCCAGATGGGGAGTAGTCGGGCTCGGGGGAAGTCGGACTCCAGAAGGAGGTGGGCTCGGAGGGTGTTACGGTTAGCGTTGGGATGGATAGGGATGAGAGGGCGGTGGGGTCTGTGGATGTGTTGGGTACAGCGCGCGGGGTAGAGACGTCGCTGTATATCGAGGACGCTGAATCAGGTGTGGGTGTGGTGGGGTAGGTGCGTTGCTGGATCGTGAGGACTTGGCCTCCTCCTGGAGTCGTAGGTGATGGCGATGATGAGGATGCTTGTTGTTTCGAGCGTAAGGCGTTATTCTCCGTCTCGACGATGCGCATGGCCCCTTTGAGGGCGTCCCGCTGGTCTGCGACGATGCGGAGCTCTTCCTCCGTTTCAGCGGCTTTGCGGTTTGCGTCGGCGACCATCTTGTTTGCCTAAAGCGCTTCATTAGTGGTGAACGGAGATGAAGTGTAAGATGACAATGCTCACCTCCTCAAACAACGCCTGACTGAGGCTTTCAAGCTCGTCTTCTAGCTGCTCTTTCGCCGCGGCCAGCTCGTCCGCTTTCGTCCGCAGCTTCTCCACCTCCGCAGTCAGTTCCTTCTCCTTTTGAGTCGGGCCAGGCGGTGGAGGCGGTGGAGGCGGGGGTGATGCGGTACCTGATCCCGACGCGGTGCTGGGGCCAGCGGTGAACGGAGGGAGTAAGGCTGGTGTGGGGTTGAACACGGCAGGCGAGTCAGCTGAACTCGCGGCATTCGGGGTGGTGGATGTAGTAGGGGACGTATTAGACGGAGAAGCGGAGGAGGATCGGAACGACGGCGTAAAGTTGAAGAAGCGGGAGCTCGTACTCGGTGGAGTACTTGAAGGGGGCGTCGTATCGAGGGAGCGGGTCGGATGGTGGTCCTTCAGCGAATTGGATCTTCGGAGGTCCTCGCGTTCGCTCCATCTTCGCCAGCCGACATCTTTCCCGTTCTCCTCTGTGCGCTTGAGGGCGAGCTGCAGGTTTGACCGCGTAAGGGTGAGGGCCGTTTCAAGGTCGGTTTGATTCTTGTACGCTTGGGTTAACAGGCCGCCCTAACAAGCACATAACATTAGCAAGATCCCTGAGCAAAGCATCACAGCAAACTCACAAGCTCCTCCACCCGTCCCGTCATTTTCGCCAACATATCCACCAACTCGCCCTCCCTCTCCTCCCGCCGCCTCTCCCTCTCCTCTGGCCCCAGCCTATCCTCCGCCTTCAGCGTCGACAATGGTGTCTCAAGCAGGGCCCTCGCGGCCTTCGCATCTTCCGCAGACTGGATAATGGGGCTGGTGGGATTTTTTATTGATCATAGCCAATCAGAAACACGTGGAACGACACTATAACTCGTATCCTAAGCTTTCTACAAACCTTGCTGTTTTGTTAAGCTGCCATTCTTTCTCACCTTATATACACTATCAATGAGTCAATGCTTTGACTGATGTTTCTGAAGATGACTCTGAATGAGTCAGTTAAATCTTCCTACGGCTCCGAAAGCATATTTTCTGCATAAGTTGCTGACTCGCAACGATAGAACCAATGTGACGAGTCAATTTCAGTATTTA